TTTAAGAATATTTGTGTTGTAGTCGATATTAATCTTCTAATACATTATTATTATGCATATATCATCTATATTTGTATAAATAATTACCAAATGTTTATTATTATACACAATTAATGATGCTCTACTAAATAGAAGTTAAATCATTTTCAGTTATTTATTTATTAACAAGTACCGTCTATTATATAAATATCTCTTTTTTGTGTACTCAAAAAGTGAGTACACTCTAGAATCGGTCATTGTGTCCGGCCGGCCGTTAACACGATAACTTTCGAAAGGAGAGTCCGACCGCGATGAAATTTTCTACACAGTTCAGTCTTAACAATATCTCGGTCGAGTTCGAAGATGAGAAGGATTGGCCGAGCCCTTCCTGAGTTATTGCAAAAATACTCATTTTTCCCTGCACCTTCCCCATGGAAAGATCGACCCATCCCCACTTTCGTAAAAGACTTTTCCTTGAATAGTCAACTAAAACCCCAACTATTATATACCATTCGATAGAGAATTTTACGAGCTACAAAATGGTATATAAAACATAAGGAAACAAGAAAGCCAACTCAGCTATTGCAAAGATAATTAAACGGAAATTAGTTCTGTTTTTATCCACGCTCTAATTGATCCACAAATAGAGCTCTATCTTTCGATCACAGAGATGATAGTTCGAGGTTTTCTAGGGTGGAGAACTCGAATCTGTGCTCTATTCGCCTCGAAATCCCATTGGTTGAACAGTAACCAATAGAAATCAAGTTATAGGAAAAACGACTTTCTTAGGGTAAACCAAGGTGAAGAGTTCAAATCTTCTCTGTATTCATCCCCAAATCCTATTGGTTGAGCAGTAGCCAATAGAAATCAAGTGTTTATAGATAAGGTTTGCCAGAATAATTTTTATATCCCCATATTCTAGAACGACTCATCTGTCTCATTCACTTTTCTTCAGTACACATAACTCTCGGATTTAAATCCGAAGTTTCCGCATTTATTATATATCTATTTTTCGTTAGATCCTAAACACTATTCAACCGATAACTTTACATTAATTGTCAGTGGAAAAAAAATGAAATTTTCACCTATAATGTAGTTTCATATAGTCTATCAAATAATAAGAAAAATTGAAGTAAAATGATAATCTCTAAAACTTTTGCAAGAAAGAGAGAGTTCATGAGAAGATCAAGAATTCATATAGTATGGATAAAAGAGCTGATGCATATACTCGATTGTTTATTTTTTATTTTTTCATTTCACTACTTTTTATGTTGAGAATAATGTTACCCGATATCAGAACTTCTGAAACAAATACAAATTCTGAACATTGTAAGAGATGTTCTATGAGCAAACCAAGGAACCGAGGCATCGATTATAATATAAATTTTTGATTTTTGATTTGTGTTTAAAAGGCGATTATCTCAGAATAGAAAATCGAAATTTTTTAGCTCATTTCAGTTTTTCATACGAAAGTTAACTTATATAAACTTTTCAGCATTATCAATAAATAAGTATAAAACATTTCATAAATGTCTGTTAAGATTATATGTCAAAAATTCAGAGAACTTTTTCATTCAACATATCAAAAGATAGAACATTAAGAGCTGAAGAAAAATGAACTATTTAAAATATTGTATATCATTTATTTATTAGGATTATATAGTTCGTTATGTACCAATTTATCATTCTATACTTTCAATTTTTGAGGCAATATTTCTGTTGTCAGTTTTCGAAATCATATTGAGTCAAACTGAATTTTTAATATATTGTGAAACTTTTTATTCTCTATAAAATCGTAAAAATATATTGAGAAAACAAGTTTATCTTTGAGATGATATAAGGCTTACACTGTTAGTAGGCAGTTAAGCAATCTCAGAGGAAACGAGTTAGGAATTTTCCAATATTCCACCATTGATGAAAATTTTTATCTTGAACAAAACAGGACTTCATTATGGTTAAAATGTCATAGACAATTCTTTTCAAAAAATAGAACAATTACATTCGATCGAAAAGTTTTTGGACAACATGATGAAAGATGAAACATGTATATAAAGGCCATTGAAAGAGCTTTTTGTTTACTATTTATATAGCTTGTCTCACCCTCTATCTATACTATAAATTTGAGATTTTTTGGTTGATCTATTGTTGTCAAAATAATTGATCTTCATAAATGTGTTTTTTTTTCTATGCTTGAACAAAAGAAAAATAACAAAGATCCATAATAAATAGCTGCACTTTGCATCTGATTTTATTGTATCTAAATATGCTTATTAGAAAAACAAAATATACTAAAAGATGCAACATGAAAAGCTCTACAATCCATAAAGTAAAGCTTGTTTTAGTTTTGTGCTTCTTTCTTTTCAGAAAAAGCAAAATTGGATGCAACCAATTTTGTATTCTAAGAAGAAAGTTATTTTTTGCTATACGAGTTATTTCTTTTCATGGCATCGAAAAGTAGTTGTATAGAAGTTCATTCTTGTGAACAGAAAAAACACACAATTAAAACAAGATTTACTTTCTAGATTGTAGAGTTTTTCATGCTGTATCTTGTGGTATACAGGGGTCGCAGCGGGGATCACAAGAAAGAAGAATTTCGAAAAGGAAATTTTTGAAAAAAAGAAGGAAATCCAGAAAAAAAGAGAAAAAGAAGGATTTTTCAGAATTCCTATGTTGCAACACTGAGATTATATTAGAAGACTGTTACGTAAGAGTAAGAATGAAGTCAAATGAGATCGAATTTCAAACATCAATAATTGTCTCTTTGTCGTGTGATATGTTTGTGTGGCTATTCTGGGTGTAGGTGTGGATATATCTTCTTTCGTTTAACATCCACACACTACTCACACGCAACCGCATCCATACCTAAACCTGATACAAAAGCTCCAGAAATTTTTTCTAATTCTGCTGCTCGGCTTCAATCATGTTAGAAGTTTACACTAAACGTTCTAGTCCGTTTATTGACTCACGAAAACAATTGTTAATTTTATGGCGCACGATGTTCTTTCTATTTGTGGAAAATTTGCAACGCAATACAAAGTAGTCATTCATATTTACTCATTTTGCCAAATAATGAGACAGAATTATGACAAATAAACGAATCTAGGTTAAATATGAGAAGTTAAGGTTTTCGAAGTTAAGCTAGATGATTGACTAAATTTTCGTGCTGAAAGCTGAATTCATTCTGTAAAATTTTTCTAGTTTGCTGACAGATATTTTTATTCATCTAGTATTTTGACTATCTCACTTGAATCTAAATGCTTTACTATCCCTGAATTCAAATGTACTTTTCTTGAGGTTTTCGCTTTAAACGACATTTCAAGATTGTTTTTTATGTTCTGCAACGATTTAAGTTAACTGGACAAATGTCTAATTTCTTGATCGATGTATCTGTATACAACTTGGAATACTTCTCTAGTGTTCATATCGATGTAAAGTTCAATTATGACTCATCAGTTTTTCGAAAAGAAAAATTAAAGAATGTCTTTGAAACTTCAACTCGGTCATAAACTGAAAACGCATAAAGAGAGCTACATTTCAAACTGAGAGATCTTAGATCATGTCTAACATTGATTGATCAATTTTAGTTTCGTAGAAGACTGACAATCAATTGGAAATTAAATTGAAAAACATTTACATATAACACTCTATTTTCGTCCATAAGCATCATCTTATTTACAAACAAATGTTGATTGTCTTTCTTTCATTATTTATCAATAACAATACCAGTAAAAACTGAGCTTTTCTTACGTTCTACTAAGTAAAATTCTGGGCTGAACGTCAATATCAGGGAATGATTATTCACATAACTATAAGGAGAACTATAATGTGACTCAGAATCGATTATGATTAGTAATTGAGTATATGCTCCCAACTTTCAACAGTGAGAGAATTCTAGTGAAGATCTATTTAAGATGTTTCAAATTCTGCACTTTTGTATCATGTAAACTGAAGTCGTACATACATAGTTTAACACAAACGTAGATAGCTTTTTATTGAAACTTTCATGAATTAAACATCTTTTTAGATGCTCTAAGAGCTTTTTATCTAACTCTAGAATATCGTATATTTGAATATACGATAGATACTATCTCTAAAGATGATGAGATCCTATCCTTTCAAGCACACTTCATTACAGAAAAAATAATTATCCGTTCTGTCAATCTATATACGATATACATAAAAAGTAACAAAACGAAAAATTTTTTTTTTCTACACTGAAAAATGTGCTTGAAAGAATAGAGTCTCATCATCTTTAGAGATAATTATTATCATATATTCATATACACCATTTTCTAGAGAATTTAGTTCTGTACAAGAGAATATCATTTAAAGAGAAATATTTCAATCTAGTTTTCCAAGTGAAAAATTAGGATTAATGAAGGATCTATAGAAACGACTAATTGTAATTAACAATCAGTAGGTGTTTGATTTAATTAATTTTAAAAGTAAAGGACACAATTCGATTCAGTTTTGTTGTCTCCTCTATCGAATGATATATATTGAGTTGAGTATTTGTCAAAAACTTGAAGTTCTCTGGAAAATCTATAGTGCTGTAGGTATTTCAAGATTTGCGAAGTTTTATTAATATTTTTTCTGTTTGTAAAGTATACAAACATGTAGAGAACTCTTTTTTTCTATCGAATGAAATATTACTCAAAATGTTTTGATAACAAATAGCAGCGCTATAAAAGGAGAAATAAAAATGTCTAAATAATTTTTTTTTTACATACTGTATATCTTGAATAACATTGAATGAACTTTTTTCACAATTAACTGATTTAATTGACCAAATAATAATTGATGTGACTATTTCGTTCAAGATTAACATCAATTTTACATTGAAATTTTTCTTTTAATTTATCAAGAATTTTTATAATTTTCTGTATCAATTGTTAATTCTTCAATAATACTTAATGGATTTCCAGATAATTGTGGACTTTCTAATGATAAAGTAACTTTACGTGTTTTATTTGAAAAAATATAACCAATTGAATGTTTATGTAATATATCAGTATTTAGTTTTAATATACCAAATGAATGTATTGTTGACCAACGATGTACATCAATTTATAATTCATTTTATTAAGTAATTCAAAATCAAGAACAGATAAAACATCAAAAGCAAATGGACGTGGAATATCAAGAAGTAATTTATCAGTATCAGCAACAATATGAATTTTATTTTCTATATCAATTGTTGGTAATAATATTTTAATTCCTAAAGAGAAGAAGAAAAGTATATTTGGATATAAGAAGATCTAATTAGATCTTTTCCTACATCTATTACTAACTGTAACTATGGACAACAGACTGATCTAATTCAGAATTCTTTTGCTCGATAATTTGAGTTTTCTGTATAGGCTAACTAACTACAAGAATCAGTGTATGTCACAATATAGTCAATATGTTATTGTGTAGATCATCCGAGAGAAACAGTCGTTAGTAACTTGTTCAGTCTCATTTCATGTCTAATGCTACTTAGGCTTGAACAAAATATCTCGGTAGTATATACTAAATAACTTAATTGCTCAACTATAACGATTCGACTATACAAAAAAAAACAAAAACGATTGGAATTGTTAGGAACTGATTTGGTTCTCTCGTCGAAGAATTCATGCTTGCGAAAAATACCTGTTTAACGAGTTCACATTTCAATTCAGAAGATAAAAGGAAAACTGAATAAATCGGAAAGTTATAGGATATTCAATCGTACTTATACTTACTATCGAACAAAGATGAAATCGATACAGGCAACTAATTTCTATTTTCTACTATTGAGTTTGAATCAATAGAGATAATTAATAGAAAATATTGAAACTGAAGCTAGAAATAACTAATTATTCTATTCGACTCCAAGTTTTATTAAGCTTCATTCATTACGATAGTTTTTATTATGAGAAGAAAACAGAACACTGACGGATCCACCATTTCGGCTATCCAGTGATCGTCACCTCCCTGGAAATAGAAGTGACGATGGAAATTTTTAAAATATTTGGATAACAATAGAAGATCGATAATAAAAACGGTAACTGAAGTTAGTGGAGTAACTACGAGGGAGTCTAAAGGACCTGAGTCACCTTCTCAGAATTGTTTCAGCACTTCCTAGAAATTTTGTAGTTCCCATGAAAAATAAAATTGCTTCTCATCAGAAACACTATTCTGACAAGAATGAACAAGGTACTTGACTTCATCTGATTCAATGTCTGAAATTTTTCTTTGATAAAATTAAAGAACAATATTAAGTTTTCAAACCAACAGAGGAATGAATAAACTTCTCTGATGAAAAATTTATTTACTCATATCTGATTGTGGAAAATTTTCGATTTGGTCATTTTGGTCTTAATATACTTTCATAAGAGAGATATGTAAATTTTTGTGTTAGATTCAAATTACTGATCTGATTCGGAGTGAATGTATTTTCAGTAAGTATTATTTGGAATTTCTCACTATGACTTTTAGTAACAGGTCGAAGCATGGTCGTCTACATTGCCATTGTATATAGAACGATATTGAACTGGAGATATTTTTTGAAGTAATTTGTTCGTCCAAACTACTCTTGTAAATTATCTCATACAAACTACCGAAAATTCTTGTTCCATTCTTATGGTTCTCGTGCTAAAAAAAAAACCAAGTTCGAATCTTCCTTCTAGAAAGTCATTTATTGAGAAATTTAAGAGATATAAAACCGATTTCTAATGCGAGTGTGCTTCCCAAAGAAAAAAAAAATAATAGGATATCAAAAATAAATACTTTTTCTTTAAAGCAATTCGTGATTGGAATAATCAAGATTTTATTACAACGAAGTTTTACGACTATTCCGGGTAGTTCTCTACATTTTTGTTTTTTTTTTCTGAACTGTAGTCAGTGGCGAAATGAATCAATATTTGATAATGTCATCTAAAATTGTCTTCATATTAGTAAAATCGAACAAAGTTCTTTGAAAAACGTTTCTCTTGAAAGTAGGCATTTGTCGTTGGAAAAAATTTTTTGATCATATTCTAATAGACTGTACGCAATGGATTGTAAAAGTCCTTGACACTGTCGTAATGAACAAAAGAGAACACTTCGGCACTCCTTGAGATCTTGATAGGCAGACCTACAAATATATTTTAAATTCGCTATCATACTGTTTATTTTATCACCGATTTTGACTATATTCTGATTCAATTTATTTTAATTTTTGAAACTCTTTGGATACAAAGAGTAACGCTTCTAAGTGTTCTCTTTGGAATCACTATGCTTCTTCCATAGCACGCGACTAATTTTGAGTGGTTAGTTTTTGATTTCGATAACATATTGACAATTACTTAGATCCGAATCATTATGTGAAATTGTATTCATCGTAGCCATGGAACACGAAAAAGTGTCACTTTTATGACAAAAACATGTGAATTTGGGGAATACTTCATAAGAAATTTAAAAGTGTTGAAATAAATATCTCAACTAGCTCCGTATACTTTAGATAGGTCAGACCTTTAGTACTCTTTTTTTTTGCTAAAAAAAAACGAAAAATACTCAGTACTAGCTTGGTTCACTTTTTAGAAACGTTCGGGGTTGAACCTTCAGCCTGAAATTCTGGTTACGTCGCTAAATTTAGAAAATGTCACTGCTGCTTGGAAATGCTGGATCTGCCACTGAAATAGAATAAGTTATCAGTCTTTCTAGCATTTTAGTCAATTATTTCAGCTTCGTTTATATACTAATTAACTTCAAACAAACCACAAAGATTTATGTATCTCATGATCTACTGAACGCGGATTATTTGAAATAAGTAATTGTCGAACGCTTATTCCAGATTTTGATACAGCAATAATGCATAAAACAGATGTTCTAATCTTCTACTTATCCCGTACATATTCTTATAAACTGATGACTTTTTCTAGCCATTATAGAAAACTCTATCACTTCTCATTAAACAAAAAATATTGCTCGCTGAATCAAACCTTTTTTTTTTATGCTTCTGAACTTCGTCAATGTTTATGATCAATATGAAAATTGAATACATTTAATTTTATTTTAACTTGTATTTTTAAATTTTCTTCTGGTAATATTAATTGTCTTGTTTAATTAGCTGTTTTAATAGAATATTGAACACAAACAAGTTCAATTCTTTTTTGTACTAGTGGATTACATATTAATATTAAGAAATCAAGTGAACTATGTAGTGTTGCATTAATTAAATCATGTGTTCGAGTGAAATCTTTTTTTTTATACCAAATAATTTTAATGGTTCGTCAAGAATTGATGTTCATAATATAAAATATGATATAATATTGTAATTATCTTGAACATTTCCTTTATTATTTTTACATTCATAAACAAAATCATAACCGGTTGGAGATGAACTTTTATCCAATATCATTAAACAATGTAATTTAATACGCATATAATCATCATTATGTTCTAAATGTGCTTTATCACTATATGTTATATCATTAAGATGAAAATTTCCATCAATATAAAAAACTTTTTCATTTAAGTTATATAAATTTCCACGAACTAAACGCAAAACAAAAAAGGATAAGAAAAAAAAGAATTTAAACAAAAAAATTTACAATGAATTTTAAATGATCTTACTTTATCTGATGTTATTAAACCAATATCAATCGTAAGATCTTGATCACGATTTGATAAAATTTCTCTTGTTAATGTTACAACTTCTTTATTATTTGACCTATCAACAAGTTTACTTTCGAATTTAAAACGATCATTATTAATAATTAATGTATCAGATGTTTTCATTACTTTTTAACTATCATTTGAATTTATTTTACCATAAAATTTATCATTTGTTTGTGTACCTTTAACATGAAATAATTTTATTTCAGTTAAAACTTTAATATCAAAATGATTGCTAGTTTTTGTTACTGAAATATCCAAACGTATGAAAAATAAAAAACAAAAAAAAATAATTATTAATATTAAATAATTTGTTTTAATATACTAGGATAAGTTTCAATTGCACCAAATTTTTCAATAACAACTTCATATTGTAGAGCATCTTGAGCATGAAAATGCCAATAAATACGTAATTTTTTTTATTGATGGATCTTTGCTAAGTGTTATCTATAAATAATAACAAAAACAAAAAAATATGATTAAATCTCCAAATAGAGTTAGAGATTGTCGAATCTGTTGAAAGCTTATTAGATTCGGGACTCAATCGGACGCGAGTAGAGTTTGTGTCCCACGATCTCTAAACAGAGTGCATTTTTCGATTTTCTATCTTGAGAATATAGGTTTCAATGTCTAAATGAAAAATGAAAAACAATTTACAGTGATTGGATAAGAAGGTTGACTACGAAGTTGAACAGAACAAAATGAATTAAGTTCTAAACATGCACATATACCCAATCCACAATAAATAATACTTGGTGAACATGATGGATTAATGGCAGTTGATTTTGAATTTGATACGGGTTTGAGACTTTTCGATATACATAATGAATATTGAAAACTAGAAAAATAAAACATTGAAATTAATTAACAAAAGAAAATAAAAATGTTTTAGTCAGTTGCAAGAACTGTTGATTTTTCATTAAGAAAATTAAATTTACATGTTCGTCTTTGATTAGTAGCAACAGATGAATATTCAAATAGAAGATTTGACAAAGCACCAATTTGTATTATTTCATCAATATTTTTCAATGGTAATAATACTTTACATTGAAGTATTAATGAAAAACTCAATCTTAAAAAACAAACAAACAAACAAATTCAATACAAAAATATATGGGACACTAGAAAAGTTTTTTCGCTCGATTCTTCTCTAAAAGCTTCAGTTTCAAAAACAAGCATTCTATTATAATGCTTAAACATATTTAGGCATATATGCAAAGTTTCAGACTTGTAAGTCTTATGCTTTGTTGTAATTTATCATTTCTTCTATACTATTGCGGCAGACTAAATCAACACGATTTGTATATGAGTTTTCAATTACTTAATGTATTGTATTAAAAAAACAAAATATCCTCCAAGACGTGTCATGAAAAGCTCTACAATTTACATAAGATCGCTTTATTTTTTATAGTTACATCATAGGCGATGAAACGTTTTGAATATAGGGTAGACTCAACAGTTTTTATAAGACCCTTACCAACAGGTTAAATATAGAGAGGATAATTTTTTTTCTGCTATACTATTCAAATAAAACACAATTAATATTGCTTATTTCCAACTCAAATTTTTTAATTCTTATAGCATTAGTTCAGATCAGAGATGGATTTACAACTTATGGCAAAACAGCTAGTATTCAAATAGCCAGTTAAACTTTTGTCTTGATTGAATAATGACCTTCAGATATAGTTTATTGGATGCAAAAATTTTTGAATCGAAATCTGGAATGGTAGTAACGTATTCAAGTGTGTAAGCTGGATTACATAGTCGACTATATAACTAGCATAAACTATATCTGAGGTTTCTCCACAGTGGGTATGAGGTGTAGGTGTAAGGTAGAACAAGATCAACCCGCTCAGGCACATACTTACACCGACACCGACATCCACGCCACAAAGTATTCCTAATATCCAAATTCACGTTTAAGTCAATGGGATATGATTGGCATCTAAGCCTGCTCGCATTGCCTTATTTCTTGCTTACTGTTCCATTATTTGCATTTGCTTTCCAACAGACGGTTTGACTCATGAAATTTCTTTGCACTATGACTGGAAGAAGGTAATATAAACAAATATGTAGAAATGATATCACATTTTCTTGCGATTAAAAGAGAATAACTAGCTTTTGCTCAGGTGTGCTCAGATAATGGAGCGACTAGCCGTTAGTGGCGCTCTGAAGGGCGCCCGACGAACGACTAGTCACTCCTATTGCAGGCTCAGTGTTGATTCGCCCCACAGATGATCATTTATAAATGCTTGATTTTTTTGGAGAATACTCCACTAAGATTCTCTTAGCGAAGAATTTAAGTGAACCTCTGATTGGCGAGCGAGGCAAATTCTCGTGTTATAACTGTAACGACTTTTTGGAACTAAGTGAAATCTAGAATCTGATAGGGTTTAAATCAAAGAGAATGGTTTTATGCCAGAATAGAATTCAGTATAGTAGTGGCTAGCCGCGAATGGTGCTCCAAAGGAACACCGACGCGTGATTAGCTGCTACTCAGTGAGATTCTCTAAAGATATACTCCAGATTGTTGTAATCCATCGAAAAAATGTCTACAGTGAAGATCTGACAGGTTCAATAGAAAGCAGAACTAGCAAAAAAGACTAAGAAATGTTTTCGAATGAAATGTGAGAACAGTTGTGCTGCACGTGCACAATATATGAATGAAACATTTGACAGAAACATCATGCAAAGAATTCAGTTCTGTCCATGCAAAGTAGATTTCCATGAAACAAAATAGCTTTTCTGTCATTATGTATCCATGTCTATGTGCATTTACTCGTCTAAATTTATTCGAGTACTTCGAAATTATCTGTCTAATCCGGTGACTATTTTGAGTGCTAGCGTCATTCGAGTGGCGTATTCTGAGAATAAGTCTGATCAAATATAATTTATTGTAATCTAGAAGTTTAGCTATACACGTGTTTTTGTAGCGGACACTAGCAAATGATATTGTCGGTTAATGTGCTGGTAACTATACAGATTTTTATTTGTTTTCAAGAAGTATGATGACTTTTCACGCTAGTGTCCTGGGTATTCTTTTTTTTTTATTGTCTCTCTCTCTATATTAAATGCAAACCCTTTTCTCGGAGCATATGGATACTACTGCCTTAGTGTTATTCATCTAGATTTCCGTTGGATATCATTCAATGTGTTTCTGTTTCGTTGGATCAGTTTATAAGAAAACGTATTTCAGACACACGCATGTCAATGTACACAAAGACATTGATGCGAATGTCAATATTCGCATTCACATGCACCCTTTTCAAACTTTTGATACGCGCCCTGTTGAGGACTGCGAAGCAGTACACAATACCGAACCAGCTGAATACTCAGTCGAGGGTCAAGCGAGTCACATAGACGAGCGTTACTTGTTCAATATCTTCCAGAATTCTTTTATCAACTCTATCAGCTAAAATATAAAAATAATAAATAATTATCATAGATTCTCTTGTAGTTTCATCAATAACATCTCGATCTCCTCGTCGAATCGAAGAAGTAGAATATTTTGTTCTATACTATTATCGAATATTGTCTTCTAACTTTTCTTTATTTCTATTGTGAATTGAAATAACGATATGTCTTTCCAATGTGTCATGCTTATGCAAGATCCAACATTTTCTCTAATAGTTTACAGTAAAAAGAAAAATATACCAGTTACTATTGTAGCTTGATAAGAGTCGAATATCCAACGATGCATAGAATATATCTTATAGAAGCATTTTACTTTAACTTTTTCTCTATTGTTATCCGTACAGGATTTCAGTAAAACTAATTTCATAAGTTCGATATTTATTACCGATAAATTATCCAAGAATAGTATAGAGAAGTATGACGCCTAGGTTCGAACATATTAACACTGAGGTAGGTGAAGATTCGTCTAGATATGATATGGGATCATCTTGTTCATGTCTAGACTCTACCGCATTTTCGATTATAAAATATATCTGTATTGATTATTACTTGAACACGATAATAAGCAATAGTTTTAATGAGAAGATTTGATGGTATTGTTTCTATAGTTCGATTGTTGTTGAAGAGATAAATTTGGATAATAAAAATGACGATTAGCTAGAGGTTCGGTATGTTTAAAATGAAGAGTTTCAACTATTGTTTTTCCATTTAATTTTTTTGGACGACGTCGAAATAAAAGATACGAAATTGATTGAATATTATCTTTTGATTGTTCTATAGATAAAAAACTAATCTTCTTAATACGTAAATAATAATAAATTGCTCCTTCGAATTTATCAATGATAGTTTTATTAATTTTATGAAAATCTTTATTTAAGATTGATTCTACACCATTTTATTTGTTAAGTTGATGAAATTCTTTTATAGTAAATGATAGTTGGATAGGTCGACGTCGATCAACAAGTATTATATGTCCTATTCGAGTTTGACGAAATCTATCAAGTAATATATTAGTAATATCTATTTTAGCTAAATAATCAATAGTTGTAAGAAGCGTTCGAGCACAATCAAGTAGGAGATTTCCGATTCCTATAAAAATAGCTCGATCTCTATGATAAAGTTGTGGTCGAAGTTGACCATTTTCTGGTAACGTTCAACAGATGAACCATAATCAAGAAGAATAATATGATAAAATTCTTCTAATTATTTTAATTCAATCGTTTTACCAATATGAATATTAACAATAAAACGTACACGTTCATGTTCAGCTATTTTTCAAAATGTATTTTTAACATTTTTTATTTTAGGATAATCAGATAGAACATCATATCGAACAAGAGCAAATGGTAGAGGGCATTTTTCAATTATATCAATTATTGTTCGTTTTGTTTTATTGAGCTTAAGGAAATTTTGTCTTAAATAAAAATCAGGTGGACCACTGACAATATTAGAAATACGTATGGGTGATGAAGGTATTGTAGAATTGTTGGGAACTATTGAAAGTGATCGTCGAATAAGATAAGATATAAAATAACGTCCGATAAGATGAGTAAATATTGACAAGATATTAAATATACTTATAAAATAAAATATCGAGAAGAATTTTTATAGAAATTTTTCATGACTCAACTTATAAATCTTTGTTAAGGGACTCCAGTTACGGTTTTTTCGGAAACGGTAAGATGAACAATGATGAAACATTCAAGGTAGATAAAACTTAATAAGTGGAATAAATATTCCCATAGAGATATAAAGGTTGAAAAGGCCAAAAATAATCACAACGTTCCTTTTCCACCCGCAAAACTCTATAAGTCTTTTTTTCGAGGTACAACTTTTTTATGATAACAAGGATCAAATCGAGATAGGTTTTGTTTTCAATGGTATTCAGTTTTTAGAGGCTGCTCAATTTCATAGGAAGAAGATTTTGAAGAAAAGAAAAAGCATGCATCACAATTCGACCAAAAAACAAGGAGGAAAATCTATTTTTTTTTCAAAAATTGATTTTGAGAAAAATCCAACACAAAATTGAGAAAAAAATCTAATTTCGAAATGTTCCTAGTTATATTATTCAATATTATAATTCTAAGAAGAATTAATACAAACTCTATAAACTGTCAAGAGATAAAATCATTATTTTTCATTCCTTCTATAACATAGATTTGTCTCTAACTTCTAAAATAAATTCTAACTAGAAAATAGTATTTTATATTTAATTATTCTCGACGATTTATATCAAATAAAAAGTTAAAACATTGAAATTTTATTCTTTTATTATTCTTCAATCTTATTTAACTTTGATCATATCTTTAAACTAGATTGGTAGAAGATTAGTATCGTCGACCATCAATTCCTCTTGTTTGATTATTCGTTGTTGAAGGACGTATTACAGATTGTGTCCTTCTTACAGATGATATTCATCGTCGAAAACGTTGAGTATTTGTTAAAAGTTTATCGTTTCGATCAATCTTTGTTTGTTAATTCATCTATATTATTAATCATAGATTTTTATTTAAAAAAAAAACGAAAATTAAAATAAACAAACCAGATGAACTATTCGTTCTCCCATAATAACTTGGTCAAGGATGATAACTAGCTCTTTCTCATCCCATTAAAATGATGAAGAGCAGTTAACTAAACAATAAAATGAATGAAAAAAAAATGATTAAGATAGAATAAAGAGATGCTGCATGAGGAACTTGATAAATATGAGGGAGTAGAATAATATTATATTATTGAACTTGTCTTACTAAAAAACAAGAAGGAATTTGTCAAATATAATAAATAACTATATATTCAAAATGATTCTTTAATAAAGAATAAAAATCAGAATTTTATTATTAACAACTGAGATATAAACAGAGTTAACACTAGTCAAATAGGATTTATTCACGTGAAATGACTATCGAATGGTTTTTTTAAACTAACGATTAGTTCTAATTGAACTTTCTAGAATG